AAAGAGAACCAGTCTAGAAGCTTGGGAAAATTCAGTGGGTTAGTGGGAAAGAATACAACGGGAGGTGTGGGGCAGGGAGGAGGTACCCGGGAACGATGACGTCTAAGACCAGGGAGGGAAGTAGGGTTACTTCAGAACAGGGATTGCTGAGCGATAGTTAGCAACCAAGGATGTGACTGCTATCTGCCAGACCCTCTTTCAAGCAGTTTACTACTTGTCTCATTTAGTCCTCACCAGTTCTACGAGGAAATACTATTAATCAGAGAACGTAGACGGAAACACTTAAATTAGGCAATTCGCCCGAGGTCACACAGCTTACTAAAAGGGCAAAGATACAAACCGAGGCCTAACTAAAAACCCATTATCCGTGCAGCTGTGCCCTGAAAGTCACGCCGCGAAGGGTGCGGAGAGGGGGTGGGGACCGAGCACCGAGTGCGAAAAGCTTGCCGAGACGAGCACACGTCAAGACAAGAGGCTCCGTGAGCGGCGGTCAGTTTGCGTTTGCGAAATGAGGGGAGCAGCTCCAGAGAAAAGGGAAAAGCGGGAGAAGCTTCCAAAATGAAGACGATGACTAGAAGGCTCAGTGGCCGGGTCTGGGCGGGACCAGGCTGGGGCAACGCTGAAAAGTGTGGAATGAGTGGGGCGAAAAAGAGGTCCCTTCCCCGGCTTCCCCAGAACTTACTAAGCACGAGCACGGGACGATGGCCCATCATGGCGGCACGATGCAGAGCCGGGAACTCAGAGCAGAGAGAACCGGCAGAAGCTTCTGGAGAGAGAGAACCAGAGAGAAGCTCAGAAAACGCTGTCTCCTCAGGGCCTACACCTAAACCCGCTACCCTCCGGCTTCCCGCCAATCACCGTGCCCATCTCATTGACTGGCATGAAAACAGACCAATTGACAGTCTTAGCCCCACCCCCTACGCAAAACGGCTAGGCAAGCTAGATAGAGAGGGCGCGAAGACGAAAAGGGGAGGGCACCTGCGCTTGCGCAATGGAGTGGCCGCTCCCGGCCGCGTGCGGCGCGAGCTACAGCGCAAGCGCCAAGGCTTGGGCAGTTGGCTAGGACCCTGCTGCGCATGCGTGTGAACTACAGGGGTGGATGCTGGGGTCGAGGCGTCAGATGAACACCGCAGGTGAGGTCTTTGAACAGTGTCTTGTGCCTCGGCCCTATTCCAAAGGTCAAGACAACTTAACGGTTTCCACTCTTGTTCCAGCGTTAGCAACGGGGCGGGTTAGATGGGCGGGACTGCAGCCTGCCTTTGAGGGAATACCTGGCTGGTTTGATGCAAGGTGAAATGGGAGTTGTAGTCCCATCGTGCCCGCCTGGGCGGTAACTTTTTTTCCTGGGCACGCTGGGAGTTGTGGTTTATCGCCTCCGGACTCGTTGCTGTGTGTAGATCTTTCCATTTTTAGGCAGATGCTTTCTACCGAGGCTGTGAGAGGTACTGGAGGAGATGGCTTTCCTGTTCCTCGAGTTATCCTATCTAAAACATTTTCTCAAGTATTCCCTATCTGTAGTGTTTTGACATGTAACTTTCCCCACACTCATGGTTGTCCTTGCCTTCTCATTCAACTGGTCAGTTAGAATTTCCAGAAGCCAGAGTTTGTCCGTTTCTATATTGAATAGGAAAAGGACTGATAATGGAAAAAAATAAACAGGGAGAGAATACAGGAAGTAATTACCTGCATGTAGGAGAGGCTTAAGGTTTGGGCTGGTTAAATAACCATCTTGTATAGGAAAAACAGTCAGTAATAATAGAAAATAGTATTTCCAAATGAAGGGACTGTACTGGCACGAACAACTCAAGAACAGTTGAATTGAAAATTTTTTAAAAATTTGCTATAGGATGTGTGCACTCACCAGGGAGAGAGAGAGAGAGCACTCCTGGGGGACTGACCATGCCTCAGTCTCCTCTCCATTCTCTTGGGATTTGGGGCATCCATGCTCCCACCGCATGGACTTAAACTGCCCTGGTGACCATATGGGATCCAGCCACCTTCCACACCACACCACCTGACTGGCTCAGGAACAGTCACATCTGGCCATGAAATAGAGTACACCCTTTCACCTTTCTTCCTCCCAGATAGGGACCACCTGAGATCTGCTAGAGAGACCTTAGGAAATTGTCAATAGTACAAATAATAGTGCAGGTCATTGATCATGTGATGTGATTCTATCCCAGGCCCCACACCTGCTGGTGTTCAGATGGAGCAGCACGCTAGCAGAGAAGGTGTGTGCAGAGGCTTTACCTCCCCTCCCGGGATAACCAGACCTCCCTAATTTGCTCATTGTTTTGGAAAACAATTCTAGTATTTGTATGCTTTTTCCTGTTTATTGGTTAATTGGAAAGTATTTGTGTTTATTCTGCATTCCGCACTAAATGGGGACATTGCTATATTCCCACTGCCTAGAACAAGATCTATTAACTAGTAGATGCTCAATAATTATTTGTTGGATGGCTTTATTCTTTCATATCTCTTCTTTTTTTTTCCCTTCCATATGAGAAAGAGACAGGCTCTCCCAACAGTATCTTTTTTTTTTTTTTTTTTAAGAATTATTTTATTGGGGACCAGCAGGTGGCATGGTGGTTAAAGCACTGGACACTCCCACATGGCTGACCATGGTTCGAGTCCTGACCTGGCAGCTTCCTTTCTCCCTTTCATTCTCTCTCTGTCTCTGTCTCTTTCTGTGTCTCTCTCTGGTCAAATTAAAATAAATAAATAAAATTAAATAATTTTTTTAAAAAAAGAATTATTTTATTGGGGACCAGCAGGTGGCATGGTGGTTAAAGCACTGGACACTCCCACATGGCTGACCACGGTTCGAGGCCTGACCTGGCAGCTTCCTTTCTCCCTTTCATTCTCTCTCTGTCTCTGTCTGCTCAAATTAAAAAAATAATAATAACAAATGTAATTAGATAATTATTTTTCTAAAAAAATAATTATTTAATTTATTTAATTTTATTCATTGTGGTTGGGGGGGGTTGGACTCCCGCATGACTGATCGCGGTTCGAATCTTGAACCTGGTGGCTTTCTTTCTCACTTTCTCCCTTTCTCCCTCTCTCTCTTTCTCACTCTCACTCTGTTCCTCTCTGGTCAAATTAAAATAAGTAAGTAAATAAATAAAGTTAAATTTAAAAATAATTCTTTAAAAAAAAGTTTTCAAGGTCTAACAAATATCCTCCTCTGATATGGAGCCTTCTTTGATGATTGTGTTCTCATACTGATCTGTCTCACATTTTAGAAACACTCATTTTTACATTTGATCACATACTTAGTGTAACTAACACATAAAATACTTTATTTTTATTTTTAAATTTTATTTATTTTTTAGAGATTTTTGTTATGGGACATGTACACTCACTGGAAATCCAAAGAGACAGAAAGTGAGAAATCACCCCCCTAGGGGAGATGGCCACACCCCAATTGCTGCTCCTCCATTCTCCTCTTGGGATTTTGGGCACATATATGTGTGGCACACATGTATGTGCCCAGAGTGAGTTTTAAGTCATGGGATCTGGGATTCGAACTGCGGTCAACTACGTGGGAGTCCGGTAATGTAAACATTACACCATCTCCTGGACTCAATTTTTTTTTTTAAGAGATTTTTGCTACAAGGCATGTTTGCTTGCCAAAGAGACAGAGATAGAAAGACAGAAAATGAGAAATCACCTCCCAGGGAGGATGGCCATGCAGCTATCTCTTCTCTTCTATTCTCTCTGAATTTTGGGCTGCGCGCACATGTGTCTGGCATGAGTTTTAAGCCACTGGGTCCAGGACTCGAACTGTAATTGAATATGTGGTAGTCTAGCAACGTAACCATTACATTATCTGCTGGCCCCAATAGGCTTTATTTTAAAAATATTTTTTAACCACCATGCTACCTGCTGGCCCAGAATGGCTTTATTTTCACCCAACCTATCAGACTCATGGGTTTTGTTTTTGTTTTTGTTTTTGTTTTGAGAGGTTTTCGCTATAGGGCGCGTGCGCTTGCCAGACAGAGAGAGACATAGAGACAGAAAGTGAGAAATCACCCCCCAGAGGGGGTGGTCATGCCACAATCCCTTCTCCTCCATTCTCCTACCTGCTGGCCCAGAATGGCTTTATTTTCACCCAACCTATCAGACTCATGGGTTTTGTTTTTGTTTTTGTTTTTGTTTTGAGAGGTTTTCGCTATAGGGCGCGTGCGCTTGCCAGACAGAGAGAGACATAGAGACAGAAAGTGAGAAATCACCCCCCAGAGGGGGTGGTCATGCCACAATCCCTTCTCCTCCATTCTCCTCTCGGGATCTTGGGCATGAACGCACACGCGCCCGGCGTGAGTTTTAAGCCCCCGGGCCTGGGATGCAAACCGCGATCGACTACGTGGGAGTCCAGCGACATAGCCATTACGCTAACTGCTGGTTCCCCAGACTCATGGTTTATGTCCTGTGGTTTCTTATTTTTGTTGTTGTTGTCATGAAACACATGCACTCCCAGAGAGACAGAGGGAGAGAAAGTAAGAAGTCACCCCCAGGGGCATAGCCATGCCACAGTCTCCTCTCCATTTTCCTCTCAGGGTGTTGGGTAGGCACATACGCGCCTGCATGATTTTCAAGCCAGTGGGTCCAGGACTTGAATTGGTCAGACATGTGGAAATCTAGTACCCTAGCCATCATGCCTCCTGCTGGCCCCTGTCCTTGTATGGTTATGTCACTGTTTCACCTGCATCTGATTTGTCTCCATAATTCAATAGTGAGCACACAAGAAACCACGTCTCGATGGCCTGTCTATGCCCCAGCATTTAGTACAGTAGTAGCAAGTAGTGCTACCAATGAGAACTTGTAAAATGGAAGCAAATTAGACTACAGCTTATCTCACCCCTGTTTGGTATCCCTTAATCCCACAATGATTTTGTTTGTTTGTCTTATAGATCTTTATGATATATAGGATATTCAAGGCCAGACCTTGGCACCTGCTTTATTCTTTAAGAGATTTTTTTGGGGGGGCACCAGCAGTTAGTGCAATGCCTATGTCCTTGGACTCCCACGTAGTCGACCACAGTTCACGTCCCGGACCCAGTGGCTTAAAACTCACGCCGGGTGCGTGTGCGTGCCTAAGATCCTGAGAGGAGAATGGAGGAGAAGGGATTGTGGCGTGGCCATCCCCCCCAGGGGGTGATTTCTTGCTTTCTGTCTCTCTGTCTGTCTCTGTCTGTCTGGCAAGCGCACGTGCTGGAGAGAGACAAATACAGAGACAGCGAAAAGGAAAGTGAGAAATTACCCCCCTCCCCGGGAAGGATGGGCACACCGCAATCCCTTCTCCATTCTCCTCCTGTGATGTTGGGCATGCCTGCACATGTGCCTGGTGTAATTTTCTTTTTTCTTTTCTTTTCTTTTCTTTTCTTTTCTGTTCTTTTCTTTTCTTTCTTTCTTTCTTTCTTTCTTTCTTTCTTTCTTTTTTTTAAGGTTTTTGCCATAGAGTGTCTACATTAGTCAGAGAGACAGAGAGAGACAGTGAGAGGAAAAGTGAGAAATCACCGTCCATAGGGGATGACCACACCGCAATCCATTCTCCTCCATTCTCCTCCTGGGGTTTTGGGCACCTCACACACATGTGCCCAGCACGAGTTTTAGGCCACTGGGTCTGAGACTTGAACTGCCATCAACTATGTGGGAGTCCAGCGACGTAACTATTAGCCATCTGCTGGTCCCACCTGGCATAATTTTCAAACCACCAGTTCCAGGACTTGAACTGTGGTTGGTCATATGAGAGTACCATTTTCTGGCTCCTGCTTTTTTTTTTTTTTTTTTTGGCTCCTTCTTTTTTTTTTTTTTTTTTTTAAGAATTATTAATTTAGTTCTATTCATCAATATTATTTCTCAATTCACCGCAGGGCATGTGTGCTCATCAGAGAGCGAGAGTGAGAGAGAGAAAATGAGAAAGTAAGTCACTGGGTCCAGTACTCAAATGGCAGTCATATGAGTCCAGCGCCTAAACCACCATGCCACCTGCTGTCTCTGGCACCTGCTTTCATGGACCAGGTGCAGGGATCTGGTTAGAAAAGCTAGTTTGAGACCAGCAGTTGGTGTAATGGCTATATTGCTGGACTCCCATGTAGTCCACTGTGGTTCGAGTTCCGGACCCGGTGGCTTAAACTCATGTCGGGCACATGTGCATGCATGCTCAAGATCCCGAGAGGAGAGTGGAGGAGAAGGGATTGTGGTGTGGCCATCCCCTCTGGGGCGTAATTTCTCACTTTCTGTCTCTGTCATTCTGGCGAGTGCATATGCCCTTTAGCAAAAACCTCTCAAAAAAAAGAAAAAAAAGAAAAGAACAGAAAAGCTAGGGTTGGGGGGCCAGCAGGTGGTGTGGTGGTTAAGGTGCTGGACATTCCCAAAAGTGAGAAATCACCCCCCAGGAGGGATGGCCACGCCACAATCCCTTCTCCTCCATTCTCCTCTCGGGATCTTGGGCATGCACGCACACGTGCCCAGTGTGAGTTTAAGCTGCCGGGTCCGGGACTCGAACCATGGTTGACTACATGGAAGTCCAGTGACATAGCCATTACGCTAACTGCTGGTCCCAAATTAAATAATTCTTAAAAACAAAATAAATAAAAGAAAGAAGAGCTAGGGTTGAGCCAGCAGGTGACGTGGAAGTTAAGGTGGCTGCATCCCACATGGCTGACTATACAGTTCAAGTCCTGGGTGCAGTGGCTTGAAAAACACACTGGACCTGTATGCATGCGTGCCCAGAATCCTGAGAGGAGTATGGATGGAGGAGAAGGGATTGCAGAGTGGCTATCCACTTGGGAGTGGATTCTCTCTCTCTCAGTCTCTCTCTCTCTCTCTCTCCATCCCCCTTACTCCCCAGGGAGAAGAAAAAAGGAAAGCAAAAGAAAGGCTGGGGTCTAGCCCTGTGGCCTTGTGGTTAAAGGAGCTGGATCTCATGTGGCTGGTTGTGGTTCAAATCCTTGTTCTGGTTGTTGGAAAAACACACTGGACATATGCCTATGGGCCTAAAATCCAGACAGGATGGAGAAACGGAGGGAAAGGGGTTGTGGTGCGACCGCGCCTCGTTGGGGTGTGCTTTCTGTCTGACTCCCACCCCCATTTGTCTCTCTCTGGTGAGCACGTGTGCCCTCTGGCGATTAAAAAAAGAAAAAGGATTTAAAAAAAAAAAAAAAGAAAGAAAGAGAGGCTGCCCTTGGCTGAAACGAGCTCTGATTCAGTTCCAGCCGGGGAGGAAGGTAATGCTGTCCCTCTTTGCCGAGCGAAACCGTCCCCCAGCTATGTCAATCTTCACGCAAGTCTCCTGCCAGCCACTTCCCTGAACACCCAGCCAAAACACCTGCTGCCAGGTAAGGAGGACGAAGGGTTTCCCAAGTGGATTCGGCAGGGCTAGGGAGTGCATGGGGCAGGTGACCTGAGCTTTCTCCTGATGGGTTAGCACCCAATGCTGTCAAGACTCCTCTCAGTTATTTATTTATTTTGGAGAGGTTTTTTCGCTATAGGGCACGTGCGCTCGCCAGACAGACAGAGACATAGAGACAGAAAGCGAGAAATCACCCCCCAGGGGGTATGGTCACACCGCAATCCCTTCTCCTCCATTCTCCTCTCGGGATCTTGGGCACGCACGCACATGCGCCCGGCGTGAGTTTTAAGCCACCGGGTCCGAGACGCAAACCGCGGTCGACTACGTAGGAGTCCAGCGACATAGCCATTACACTAACTGCTGGTTCCCCCCTCTCAGTTCTTCATTGGTGACTTGTCAATTGTCTGGTTCTACTGAATCTATTTTCTGGGTTTGTTGTTGTTGTTAAGGTTTTTGCTATAGGGCGCATGCGCTCACCAGAAAGACAGAGAGAGACAAGAGAGAAAGAAAGCAAGAAATCACCCTCAGGGGCGATGGCCACGCCACACTTCCTTCTCCTCCTTTCTTCTCTCGGGATCTTGGGCACGCACGCACACGCGTCCGACGTGAGTTTAAGCCACTGGGTCCAGGACTCGAACCACGATTGACCACATGGGAGTCCTGAACCCCTCTTTTTGAATACCAAGAGCAATACGTATAAAAACAAAGAGGTCAAGAGCAATAAATATAAAAACAATAGGTAACATAATTCCCACGGATAACTAAGATCTGGCTGTGTTTAATGTAGCCAGAATGGGCTGAGGTAGCCAGAGTGGCAGACTGACACTAAGAACACCAGGCCCCTGCCAGTGAGACATGTCACGTCAGAGAAGGGGGCCGGGGTATCCTGAGCTCTCCAAAAGGAAGTTAAGCCTTGCTAAGAGATCATTTCTTTTTTTAAAAAAATAATTATTTACTTCTATTTATTTATTCATTGATTTATTTTCATTTGACCAGAGAAAGACAGACACAAGAGAGAAGGAATGTGAGAAAGCAAGCCACCAGTTCCGGGACTGGAACCACAGTTGGCCATGTGGGAATGTCCAGCGCTTTAACCACCATGCCACCTGCCGGCCCCCGATCCCAGATCATTTCATGTACTCCTCCCGTAGCTATTGAACCCGTATGTGCCAGCCACCCTTGCAGGTGCTAGGAGTACAGTGAACAAATCAGACAAAAATCTGTGCGTTCCTGGAGCTTACATGCTAGCTGGAGGATTTAGACAAAAAATAAATAGGTCATTGCAAAAGATGCTAGATGAGCATAAACACCACGCGAAAAATAAAACAAGGGAGGGGGTAGGGAGTTCCAGTGATGGGTTTCCAATGAAAACGGTAGACCTCGCTGGGAACCAGCAGTTAGCATAATGGCTATATCGCTGGACTCCCACGTAGTCGACCGCAGTTCACGTCCCGGATCCAGTGGCTTAAAACTCACGCCGGGCGCATGTGCGTGCATGCCCAAGATCCCGAGAGGAGAATGGAGGAGAAGGGATTGCGGCGTGACCATCCCTTCTGGGGGGTGATTTCTCACTTTCTGTCTCTATGTCTCTCTGTCTGTCTGGCAAGCGCACGCGCCCTATAGCGAAAACCTCTCCAAAAAAAAGGTAGACCTTGCTGAGACGGTGACAGCTGAGCAGAGCTGTCTAGATCGGGTTGTCCCTGCAGAGTTAGATCATCTTGGCCCCTCGCAACGTCACACAGTTGCACAGTCTCTCTCTCTCTTGTCCCCTTTGCATACCCGTTGCTCCTCCAGTTCACAAGCCCAAGGAATGCCTAGGACTCCTGGAGTGTATGTACGCTAACCTGCAGCTTCAGACCCAGCTCGCTCAGCAACAGATGGCTATTCTGGAAAACTTACAAGCATCCGTGACAAAGCTGCCTCCTGGAAGAGAAAGCAAGAAGTCGTCTCTCCCGGCCTTGCTTCCTAAACTGTTGTTGAATCGCCTGCCCCAATTCAGCAAATGAATTGTGGAAAAAGTTATTGTGTGTTTCCCCCTCTGTCTTCCTGTAAGTCCCTGGTGGGATCTGGGCACGTGTATTCTACATATGGATAGTTTGTTCACAAGTTCATAAGAAGTGCTTACTGAGTGCAAAACCTCGCACACGGCATTTGGGGATACATATTATACTTTTTTGTTTGTTTGTTTAGATATTTGTCATAGAGCATGTGTACTTCTCAGAGAGAGGCAGAGAGAGGAAGAGAAATCACCCCCCAAGGGGATGGTCACGCCACAGTCCCTTCTCCTTCATTCTCCTGTCAGGTCTTTGGGCGTGCACGCACACATGCCTGCCATGATTTTCAAACCACCGGGTCTGAGACTCAAACCATGGAGTTGACCAAGTGGGATCCAGTGCCTTAACCTCCATGCTACCGACTGGTCCCAGAGGAGACAGTTTTGGGGGATTTACTGTCCAACAAAGCAGACAAGACAGGTAATTCATTGTAAAATTTAGTGGTGTTCTGAGGGAAATAGAGGTTAAGAGATAACATTGGAAGTTACCATGCCAGAACTGAACCAGTCTTGGAATCTTGCTAGGGAAACTGACCTTAAGATGCCACTTGATGGAGGTCGGTGGGTGGTGTGGTGGTTAAAGGTGCTGGGCTCCCACATGACCAATCACGGTTCGAGTCCTGGACCTGACGGTTTGCTTTCTCACTTTCCCTTTCTCTCTCTGTCTCTTCCTGATCAAATTAAATAATAATAATAATAGTAAAGTTAAATAAAATAATTCTTTAAAAAAATGCCACTTGAGGGATCAGCAGATAGCATAGTGGTTATATCACTGGACTCTCACATACCAAATTATGGTTCAAGTCCTGAACTCGGTGGCTTGAAAATCATGTGGGGCATGTGTGTGTGCATGCCGAAGATCCCAGGAGGAGAACAGAGTAGAAGGGATTACAGCGTGGCCATCGTCCTGGGAGGGAGGGGTGACTTCTAACATTCCCTGTTACTGTGGGTCTCTCTCTCTCTGGCAGGCACATGTGCCCTAAGTGAAAAATTTCTTTAAAAAAAAATGCATGGGAGCTGGCAAGTGGCGTGGTAGTTAAAGGCGCTGGAGTACCACTTGGTCGACCGCAGTTCAAGTCCTGAACCTAGTGGCTTGCTTTCTCATTTTCTCTCTTTCTCTCTCTGTCTGAACAAACTAGAAGGTAATAATAATAATAAATAAAGTTAAAATAATTCTTTTTTTAAAAATACATGGAACCAGCAGTTGACATAATGGCTATGTTGTTGGACACCCATGTAGTTGACCACGGTTTGAGTCCCAGACCTGGTTGCTTAAACTTATGCCGGGCGCGTGCGTGTGTGCCCAAGATCCCAAGAGGAGAATGGAGGAGAAGGGATTGTTCCACCCCAGGGAGTGATTTCTGGCTTTTTATCTCTCTGTCTCTCTCTGTCTCTCTGACGAGCGCACGTGCCCTATAGCAATAACCTCTCAAAAAAAAAAAAATGCCACTGGAAGGAGAGGGATTCGGTGGCATGGATGGGTGACGCCAGGTAGTTCCTGAGATTGGACAAAGACCTGGAGGTAGGAGAATAAAAACCACTGGATATAGGGACCAGCAGATGGTGTAATGGTTACGTCACTGGACTCCCACGTAGCCAGCTGTTAGTCAGCTGTGGTTCAAATCCTAGACCTGGTGGCTTAAATTCATGCCGGGTGTGTATGCATGCGTGCCCAAAATTCTGAGAGGAGGATGGAGGAGAAGGGATTGCAGCATGGCCACCCCCTAGGGGGTGATTTCTTTCTGTCTCTCTTGTCTCTCTCTCTCTGGTGAGCACATGCAGCCTATAGCAAAAATCTCTATGGCGTGTGGCTGGGGGAAGCCATTGCCTGGTTAATAGTTGCTGTTGCTGCATTCTGCTTCTCTCCCAGCGCGAGACAGGAGCGAGAGACAGGAGTGGCCGGCCCAGTTGTAGCCACAGCAGCAGCTGCCGCCGTGGAGTGGCACAGAGGAGCCAGACAAAGACAGGGGCTGTTTGCCGGGTGGGGTGGGGGCTTTGCTATGTCAGATGATAACTCAAGGGTCAGCACCAGCCCCTCCTCATCTTCGTCCTCCAACCTGCAAACCGAGAAAGAAACAAACACCCCTAAGAAGGAGAGTAGTCAGCATGAACAAAAACTCCAAATTCCACCAGTGCCACGAGGATTCAGAAGGAACTGGCAGACATCACTTTAGACCCTCCACCTAACTGCAGTTTGAAATTGTTCAGAGTAACTGAAGACGGAGAGAATATGGGCCAGCCAATGGAGAGGTGATGAAGGCAGTTGGATTCCACATGGCCAACTACATAGTTTGAGTCTCCAACCCAGCGGCTTGAAAATTACCATGGGTGTATGTGTGTGCACCCAAAAATCCCGAGAGGAGCATGGTGGAGAAGGGATTGCGATGTAGCCATCCTCCCTGGAGGGTGCTTTCTCAGTTTCCTTCTCTTTCTCTCTCTTGCAAGCACCTTGTCACGAACTAAAGAAAAAAATAGAATATAGTGAGCACCCACCCTTCACCTTGATTCTCAGTTGTTAAAAATTTCACCATGTTGGGACCAGCAGTTAGCATAATACCTATGTTGCTGGACTCCCATGTAGTCAACTGCGGTTTGAGTCCTGGACCTGGTGGCTTAAACTCACGCCGGGAGCATGTGCGTGCGTGCCCAAGATCCTGAGAAGAGAATGGAGGAGAAGGGATTGCGGCGTGACCATCCCCCCTGGGGGGTGATTTCTCGCTTTCTGTCTCTATGTCTCTTTCTGTCTTTCTGGTGAGCGCACACACCCTATAGCAAAAATCTCTAAAAAAAAAAAAAGAAAAAAAAAATTCACCATGCTGGGACCGGCAAGTGGTGTGGTGGTTGGGGGTGCTGGACTCCCACATGGCCAACTACAGTTCGAATCCCAGACCTAGTGGCCCTCTTTCTTGCTTTTTCGCTCTCTCTCTCTCTCTCACTCTGTCCCTCTTTGGTCAAAATAAAATAAATAAAGTTTAAAAAAAAGAAAAAAAAGTGAGGGTTTGCAATGGTGTGGTGGTTAAGGTGCTGGACTCCCACATGGCCGACCAAGGTTCAAGTTCCAGACTTGGAGGCTTGCTTTCTCACCCCCACCCCGTCTCTCTTTGGTGAGCACATATGTCCTATAACAAACACAAAAATAATAATAAATAAAATTAAATAAAAAGAATTAAAAAGAAAAAACTGAATAGAAATAAAGGGATGAGGAGATTTTTTTTTTTTAGAGAATTTTTTTTTTTTTATTTTTGTATAGGG